CCCCCTTTTGCAAACCTGTAAAGGGTTAGTTAGTGTGAAAAGGGAACAATAAAGACTCGACAAAAACTTAACAGAACCGAAAAAAAAAGAACAAAATCGGAGAAAAAAACCCCCATAACCATCCAAAATTGATCATCTTAATTAATAGACTTACCGACGTGTCATGTTTCCTTCCTCATGAAACGTAATTAGTATAATAATACTAGCTGCAGGGTACCCCGTTCGATGAACGGACTAAATAAAAAACAAAAAAATCGATCGTCAAGTCATCGTGGGATCATTGGCGCTAATAGTAATAATGACCTTATGCAGTTGCGAGCGCCGTAAAAACTGTACTAAAACTAAAAAACATTGTGTGAACAATGTGCACAGCTTGTAAACCAGTGTGCACTGCTTGTGAACGGAAGCCTCACTTGTTTACAACGGCGTCTTAGAAGACTGACTTCCCCAAGATTAGATCTAAACGAAACTAATGAAAAACTGAAAATTAAACTACAGTGACTTCAGACTCAATACAACTGTGCACCCTTTAAATGTTTCTGAACCACCGTTAATTTTTTGTTTTCAAAATCGAAAATTAAGTGGTTCGGAAGTTTTAGGCGACCAAAGCGACGAATTTCCCCAAATATAATTATAACAGAAAACCTTTTATCACTTCCCGAACACCCATAAAAACAACGTCAAAAAGCTAAAATTAATTAATTTTTTTTTAAAAAGGAAAGAAGCCCCCATAAAAAAGTCAACCAGCTTTTATCAGCACGAGTGATGATTATTGATCAACAGTTTTACATTTCGTAAGAGTAAGAGTTTTACAGCACTTGCAACACAATAAGGTCGTATAAGTGCCGATGATTATATATATATTTCAAGAGAGTAACAAACACAAAAAAGGAAGGAGCAGAAATTTAAAGGACGATAGAATATGTTTAATAGGAAAGAAGAAGCAAACCACACCAGAGCACCCGCCAACCACCCACGCCAAAATCTAAAATAAAAATGAATGTAACGCTTTGCAGACGTAGCGGACAAATACGTGCGATCAGTACCACACCAAAGGCAATGAAAATGGTGAAATGGTATAGGTTTAAGGCCCCTATCAACACTATTAGGTTATCTAAGAGCCGGGACCTCCTAGTTTAACGCCCGTCTCCGAAAGGACCGAGCCAAGTGGGAAATTCGTGTAAAGTGCCTTTCCCAAAGACACAACGTCGGACCGAGCTGAGGCTCGAACCCCCGAGCCTGCATTCTGATGATTACGAGTCCAGTAGCCTAACCACTAGGCAATGATGTGGTCACATTTCCAACCATAACACTACACGAATCGGAAACATGAATTTGCGTTATCATATTATTATTTCATGCCTGTTGCTGCTTATCCTTTTTTAAAAGTGCCCCGAAACAGCAAGTCTTCAAGCGTTTGTCGAATGAGCAGAATGAGCGTTGTTATTGAGTTAAAAACGCACCCCCCCCCCCAACCCATAAAATGTCAGCCAGCCCTTGCTTTAGATCCATCCGCACCATTGGTGTCAGCCACACAAATTGTAACAGTTCTCGGCGGCAGACGCACACTAGAATTGCACAGATGTGGGATCTATCGACTATTATATTATTTTTGTTTGCTGCAGATCACACAAATATATATAGCCACTAAAGTAAAACTGTCGCAAATCAATTATTATTGTCAAGAAAATTTCAGATCTAACAGCAAAATATCAAATTAGAGGTTTAAAACAGGAGCGCCTTTATTAATAAACGTTTGTCTGTAAATATATCCAAACTGAAAAGTGTTTTTAATTATATGTATAAAGTATATGAACAAAAAAACCACACCAAAACTAACACTAACGAACAAACAAAAACTCAGTAAAAATCGCCAAAAAGGCTCGACTGAAATTGCCGGTTTCTCTGATCTGATTTCATTATTTTGACGAGCGCCTGATTTCACCACGCTGCCTCACCACATTTTATATTGATTGCTCTATCTCCGTCGGAGATCCGTCTCCGGATAGAGATACCGTGGTTCTCAGCACGGGCGAAGCTTGCACGTCGTGTGTGAAACCACTTAGCAGCGATCAACGGGGGAATCTGATCAACTTT